TTTGTGATAACTGAAGTATGTAGTTATTATTGCTTAGTAACGCCTTTAAAACTTTTAATTGCTATTAGTACTGGCATACTGTAGTATTAAAATAATTATTGAACATAAATTATTTTTTATGTCTATTGGTGGTCTTTAGACCACACACAGAAAAACATAATGTAGGCAGGTCAACTCAGTGGACCGATGGTCTGGTGACGAACGCGGTAAGTGAAAATCCTTAGGGAAGGCCATCGTCCATCAGTGGAAGTCTTTAGACTGAAAATAAAATGACATAGGAAGGGTAGACGTACGACGAGTAGGTAGGATAGACGAAGAGGTGGTGGAGCAAGCGATATTGGGACGTGTATAAGTGCCTTGAAAAGGTAAAGACATTAATAAAAGTTTTGAATTTGAAGAATTTCCTCAGTCCATCCCTGCGTATCAAGGTGCAACCCGTTGCAAAAACTTAAAAATTGTCCAAATTTTTGTAAACGTGAGCCATTGTCCCCACACACCCGCCACAATGCCGCTCAATGAGCCCATCCTTAGCCGCGCTTTATTCCCAACAATGGGACTGCTAACTTACAACACTACTCCTAATTTTGTAACGACCATTTTTCTGATCTTCCCCGTTCTATTATCAACCTCATTCCTAAGTTATTAAGGTGGATAATACCACAGCGATTTCTGTGATTTCTAACGTCTTAGTCATGTGAAAAGTATTGGCATTTCACATGTTTGCCATAGTGTCATTGTTACCTACACCTATTGTCGTATTGTTCGAGCCATTGTTAGCAGAATCAATGCGATACATTTTAATATTATGAAATAAACGTCTTCCGCCTGTATGATCGGACAGAGGTGCTGTAGAGCAGTATGTAGCTGGCTATCTTTACCACTTTCTTACCAAAGATTCGTTCTACTGCTGGACAAATGCCTCCTCCAAGGTTTTTCACAATGAACGGCCCTGCGCTGCGCGCATCCAGGCTCTTCCCGCGACCTTCACCAGATCGTCGGTCCACCTAGTACGAGGCCTGCCCACGCTACATCTTCCAGCCCGTGGTCGCCACTCGAGAACTTTTCTGCCCCAACGGCCATCGTCTCTACGAGCTATGTGCCCCGCCCACTGCCACTTGATTTTAGTAATTCTGCGAGCTATGTCGAATTACTAAGATACCTAAGATTGTCACCATAATATCAATAATTATATTAGTAGCATTGTCGTGCTTCGGCAGTTAGAGAGAGGTAAGATAGCCGATATCTGTGGTTAAGGATTCCAGGTGAACCTCGCTACCACTTTCGGCCATCAATGCACTCAAAACAAGAATCTTTATTTTAGGCTACATGATAACATGACTCAATAAGAAACAATAAAATCTGGTTTCAGTTCTATCGAAACTCTCCGTAAGAGATTCGATTTATCACTAGAAAATTGCTTAAACCCTACGTTTTAGAATTTATTAGCACTTAATTTTACAGTAAAAACTCTTTCATTACTTACTTGAAAATTTGATCAATACAAGTTAGTAATTTGCCAAAACCAGAACCACTAACTACAATAATCTTAATAAATTATGTGACAAAAATTTTTTAAGTATAGGACACTCCATTCCACCCATATTCCTCCCACATCTAAAATTTATTGGAATTCGAAACTGTCTCCACACGCATTCACAAATCTTCGCGGGTTACATACAAACACCTCAAAACTATGGCATCCGGTCCATACACCTTTGTGCCTTTGTCACAGCGATTCCAACCAGCTATGGGAGACAAAATGTCTCAATTTGCTCAAATTTTCGATTCAAAGAATTGCCCAATTCCATGTCCACCTTTACCGGATATCATGTGGTCAATCCTTGATAGCTGGTTATTATAATAAGTACTGAATGAACCCATTGAAAACTCAAGGTGTTGGGTGATTCGTGCAGTACAATAAAATTGCTAGGTGTGTTGACAATTGCGATGAAATAAACAAAGAAAAGGATGCATTTAGTTTCCTCGTAAAGTATTTTACTGATTATAGTATTTTATACAAAATTATGCCAATTTTTTGGGAACTTTTACTTCATTGAATGCGCAAGAGACTAGACCCGACTAAAGTATAAAACAGAGCTCGCTCAATTTAAACTAGTTTTTAAATAGATTGGACTAATTAGAGCGTGAATCCATTACTATGTGTAAATTCATACTTGAACATTGTTTCAAACAAATTGGGCTTGGAAGAAAGTAACACTTTATTGTTTGTAAGAAAACCTTTTGGAAAATGAATTTATGATTTTGGTTTGTTGGCGGTTCTTAATCTGAGGCGAGTGATAATGTAACACCGACAAGAAGCTAGCAGTAAAGGGAGATCTAGTAGATTTTGTGAATGATAAAAATAAAGAATAACTTGCTTGACCGTTCCCCGAAAGAAGCTCCCGTTTTGTTCTATTCAGTGTCGTTTTCATTCATAATATTCATCCTACTACCGGTTGGATTGTTGAGATGGTCTTAAGAAGGCTTTAGTTTTTGTCAAAAGCACTATTTCATTCACATCCCCGTAGTGGGTAGAAAAGAAAGAGGTTGTTCCGTTAATCCACACTTTGTACACAGGATTTGCAAATTCGTTTGTGTTATGCAGGGTTTTAAGTATGCAATTCTTTAGATTATTATCTTAAGAGAAATTGGTGAAGTTCTATGAATGAACGTTCACTTTAGTTGGATTTCAAAATGAATAATATCATGTACCTATTTTATGCGACATAAAGACGACTCTACGATTATCTTTACCTGTTTAAGAAAACCACTTATTATTATTTATATTGGTTAGTACTTTGTTTCTATTACGACCAATGCTAGTAGGGCTTTAGAGGTGATTTTGTTTGCATATCCAATAGGTGATGTAAGAATATTTAAAGAGTACTCATCATAATCCGTTCTGCAAGTAATTTGTTAAAAGACAAGAGTAATTTTAATTAAATAAAGTTTTGATATAACAAAGTCCCGTTATCGCTTTAAGAACCTTCCACATAACTGATAAAAATTAAGTTTAAATACTCAGTAGCCCATACACCTGAATAGTTCATTCAAGCTCTACCAGACACTATGGCACCAGAAGCGTTCTTTTCATCCCCATTGTCGGGTACCATTTCATTAACATCTTCTTAATCCCTTTTTTCATCCTTAGCATTATCCTTCGGGTTATCTGAAGTGTAAACTGCGTTTTGTTCAACAGAAACGTCTATATTTGGATTAGTTTGGCTGTTGTCTTGCCTACCCTTTGGAAAGTAGACTTTGACTTGCCGACGTGCTTTGAATGGTTTTAAATTGTCTATTGAGTTATGAAATCAGGAAATATGCTCATATCCATAGGAAAGAATGGCTTTATCTTATTACACTGTTTCATTATTTATTCGAATAAAACTTCACGGCTATTGTGTTTCTTCAAGAAAAATCACTCTTCCTACAGAATGTTTTATTTTCTCAAAAGCACTTTTACAACATCTTGTTTAAATTATAACACAGCACAAGAAACCCAGTTACTTTTATAGTTTATTTTGGAAAGGTTTATAATATTTCTTAATGACACAAGCTAGTATAATTGGTTGTTATTGTTTTATTGTTTTATTTTTTGTTATTTTAATCCTTTTTCATTTTTATGTCACCAATATCATGCTTTGTATTTCGAGCTGGTATTATAACCATGTAAACAGTTGATGATAAGGAGTACCTACAAGTACTAACAGCTCTCCACACAGTGCATTGTCACCGACAAAACACCCGGCGTAATCCTGCGCCACTTCAATCGCGAGCATTCGGAGTCGTTCGCGCGAATGATCCTTATTACCGAACGATAAAATTAATTGATTAACCCACAATGGAGAGCACGACAATGGACGGGAATCGAACCCGGGATTAGCCGGAACACGGTCCAATTATTCGGTTGTTAGCTGTTTTTTTGGACAATGGGATGTACACGTACAATGTGAGGGAAACGTGATGACAATGTTTTAGAAAGATTCTTTGTTGATTGGTGGTTGTTTTATCAATAAAATAAATATATGATTATTCTAATACTTAGTGCCAAGTAAAGCAACGCTCTATATCTAGTCCTAAAAAGCTTTGTTTAATCTAGTCCTTGCATCAGATTACTAGTTCTGGAATCTTATTAGAAAATTCAAGCACTGAAAATTCGTCGAGCTTTAAATAAGCAAAGGACCGAAAAGTTTATTCTAATTATTCAACTTCTTATCTGTTTTAAACTATCATTTAATACATTTTATTCTTTACTGTTCTAATGTCTGATTACCTATCCGTATTTCATAAAATGTTTTTCCAAAGACCTTTATCAAGTTACGTCAGTAATAAATACTGTTAATTATCCTGCTTTCGCCTCCGAGATTTATTTTACCATGTAGTAGTACCCCTGTACGACAACCCAATCCGCACACCATATTCATCGTAGTAGTAGTAAAAAACAAAAGAGCGGGCAACCCCACCCCTACCACGCTGTGGGCTCGGTGTCCGAGCGGTCTCATTCCTTTGTGCGCACGCGCAACGACCGCACGCAGTATAAGAAAAATGCTTAAGTGGCGTCACCAGGACGTTTTTACCNCGTTTGATCATTCAAACATGAATTATTTTGTTACTGTATCATAAAATTTTATTTACGTTATAGTTTATTTTATAGTGTACGCAATTCACGAAATATTTTAATTTAAATGCGTACTTAACTCGCTAAATATTTAAAGCCACGTGTGAATACAAAGACATATCATCACAAATTCTTCATTGATAAGTTTTATGATTAAATTAGTATATAAAACAAACCATTTTCATGTACAATTCAGAAGTAGGTACGACAACAATATGGTTAGGTTATTATTTCTTTCGCTATGCTGTGTGGTTTCGGTTTGGTCGGTACCAAGTGGGAAAACTTTTTATGAGCTAGAACTCGCTGATCAGCTCTTCAACGAGTTTGTGGAAACTCACTCCAAAAAATACGAAAGTGAACATGAAAAACAAACGAGATTCAGCATATTCAAGGACAATTTGAAGAAGATCAACGAAAGGAACAAGAAAAGCAAGACTGCTGTGTTTGGTATATTTTTCAAAAATTAATTTACTTAATTCAACTAGCGACCTGCCTTAGCTTTGTACGGGTCCAATATTATACACATAAATCTTCCATTTGTATCACTCTATCTCTTGCTGAAAACTGCATAAAAACCGTTGCGTAGTTTAAAAGATCTAAGCGCATAAACAGCTGGAGTTGAGTTACTATTATGAGGAGGGAAAATAATACTTTTTTGGCACCTATGTTTCAGGCATCAACCGATTCACAGACCTGACTACTGAGGAGGTATTACAGATGTACACAGGGTACAGACTAAATGACCCGTATGAGTGCCCTCCCGCCCATGACTCTCCTGATATGACTCCGCCTGAATCGCTCGACTGGAGAGACAAGAACAAAGTGACAAGGGTAAAGGATCAGGGAAACTGTGGCTCCTGCTGGGCTTTCAGTGCTGTGGGTTAGTACCATGTTTTAAGGGTGCATTCAAATTAAATTAAGGTGGTCTTGCTGCACCACCACTAGTTTTCGAGAAGCGCAGTCGCATCGCCACTACCTATTTCGCTTGTCACTGTAGTGGTCACAGATCACAGAAACTAAAGGGAGATGTGACAAGGGGGCGGGGCCGGTGTCGCAGCAATATGCCCAAAAACAGAACACATTGCTTCTGATATCAATGATGACAGAAGCGACGTCATAATGTAAACAGTTTACATTGCTTGCGTAGTACTAAAGATTATTATTCGAACTTTGAGTACTGAAACCGCAGTGGATAATGAGAACATGTTTTGAATACTTTGTGTATGTGAATTTCTAATGTGAAACTAAGTTTCGAACTCAGCGCATTAGTTGCCATCTCTCTACATATATCTCTATGGTAGTGGTGCTGCAACTGCGCTTCTAGAATTTGTATGAAAACTAGTAGTAGTACGACAAGCTCGTCACCGTTGCGCTATTGCATAGACTTTGGGAGTTTTCTCCGTAGTCTGATCCCATAGCTTCGTTTTTGGGACTCCATGGCACAGTGTAAAATGTTAGGATATTATTTTGTTTCTTTCTTTCATTTTCCTAGGTAATTTAGAAGGGCAGTACGCCATTAAACATAATGAACTTCAAGAATTTTCGGAGCAGCAATTAGTGGATTGTGACAAGTATGACTTCGGCTGCGGTGGCGGACTCATGGACCACGCTTTTATGTGAGAATGCTAAATTATCATCTATCATGTCATCATTTATAGATCTTGAAGTATTACGACAATATTTATAGCCAGGATCTACAGCTTGGCCGATAATTATAATCATACCCTAGGAGATAGGTTGGGGGACATTCTTGAAACTATTTGGACAACTATTCTTTGATATAATAGCTAATTTAAATGATAATCTCTTAACTGTGGAGTAGTCTGTAAGTTGAATATATCTTTATACATTAACAATTTTATCTCATTAACAGATGGCTGCAAAAAAATGGCGGCATAGAGCTTGAAAAGGACTACCCTTATGAGGGAAAAGATAATAAATGCAATTTCGACAACAGCAAGGCTTTCGCTACAGTCTCGAATTGTGTCAGATTTAATGTAACAAATAACGAAGAAATGTTAAAACAATATTTGGCTACTACGGGACCACTCTCTATAGGTAATAAGGAATATTTAAAACTAATGTACCATCGGCAACAGTGTAAACTATCCATTGTCTGTCATGTCGTCTCGTTCTATCGGAAATAATCACCATTTGATGAGAGCGAGAGCAAACACGAAAATGGATAGTTAACAATGTGGAAGTGTGTACTTTTTGTGTCACTTTACAGTGCAATAAAATACAATAAGAAAAAGAAAATCTCTAAGGCTGGGTTGCACCACCTAACTTTAAACATTTTGACGTTTGTTAATGTTATAGTTATATGGTGCAACCCAGTCTTAGATTGATTTTCAACTCAGAAGTCTGGACATTTTGCTTAAGTACTTACCTAAGTTTTTACCAACGTAGGCTTAACACCCTGCATTGCAATTTTCCAGCTGTGGATGCAATGCCAATGGCGGCTTACACCGGTGGCATATTAGATGACTGTGCATCGAATGACCTCAACCACGGTGTACTTCTGGTCGGATACGGAACAGGTAATGACGTCATAGTTGTCAGATATGCGATTCTGAGGATTCTACAGAAGTCTGATAAAACAGAGACCTTTTTTTTTTGTCGGTCACAAAAAAAAAACAGAAATTACCTGTGGAATACACATTTTCACAGTCACATTTACTCAGAAACTTGATTATTTCAATCCTGCGTTGTTGATTGGCAAAGTTACATTATACACTACTATTATAAGATGAAAGATTAATTTGATTGTTTGTATCTTTGATTTGAAGAGACTCCAAAACTGCTGGACTACGTACTCCGAACTAGAGTTTAGGTTTAGAAACCTTAATTATGCCTGATGAACATAGGCTATGGAATATTCTTAAAAGCGATACAGAGTTCGCCGAGTCAGCTAGTTTTAAATATCCATCATGATCATTATCATAATTTTCAGCCATAGGACGACCACTGCTGAACAACGGCCTCCTCCAATGATTTCCACAATGGCCGGTTGGTGGCGGCCTGCATCCAGCGCCTTCCCGCTACCTGTAGTTTTAAATATTATTCGATACTTATTTCCAGAGAACGGCACACCATTCTGGATCATCAAAAACTCATGGAGCGAAACGTTTGGAGAGAAGGGCTACATCAGAGTGAAGATGTCGGTCAACTGCTGCAACTTGACCGCTATGGTGTCTTCGGCCATAGTCGATTGAACTGCCATGAGGAAGTGTAGTTGTGAAGAATAATAAATTATATTTGACGATAATTTGTTTTTTATTTATTTTTATAAGACAATAATACAAATGTTATAATATAGTAAATGAAGGTAAATTCTACGGTTTTAATTGTATTACTAGAGGTAGTTGCCATCCGGCATTCAGATTTTAAGATTAGCCCATCATCTAAGGTTCCATCGATAACATTGTAAGAAACCATTTATTGTAGATTGTCACTGGACGTTAGGTGTTAAAGAAACAGTACGAATAAATTATTTTATTTTATTTTACTTTACTTTCCAAAATTCTTTATTTAAACAAAATAATATTATACAGTTACACTATAAAAATAATACCATACAGTTTAACTTACATTTTAAATACGATAACACTTCACCACGCCAAAAACACCTCACACTTTACTACATCTACTACACCCTCAAGTTAATCCGAATCATCGCATAGTTGTAGATTGTTCAAATACTAATTTACGGGGGTAATGAATGCGCTTTCTGAAATCTAACAGATAGGATGTTGAAGTAGGTTAGAATTAGGTGCTATAAGTCAGTCAGTCAATACCAAAATTCACGACTTTTTGACCTTCATAATTATCTTTATAACCGTTTGAACTTTGAGCTATCTTCATGAAAGGGATTCCAGGTGTCCAATGTCCATGGATATAATTAAACACACGTAGTTTTATGTGTTTAAGTCAAAGAGTTTTTGAGTTAGAGAAGGGTCAAAAGTGACACCAAATGATTCGTGTAATATTAGACTCGGCGCTGGCTAGCCAGTTCCTTTGCTTGAACTTGGCTTGACACATGTAGATGTATGTATGCTTGGCTAGATATTATGTGTTTTAAATTTAATCACGAACATATCCTATCTGATAACAATAAGGAGAGATAACATGAAAAAAAAATTGATATGTTTGTTTGACTGCCTAGGTCGCATTAATATTTATATAACTATCTATATTTAAAGATTGTTACCCTTGAAAAAGATGCTGACAATAGTGACTGAGTTTCTTGCGCTCCACTGCTTCTTCTCTACACTGGCACATTTATTGTCCCGAAGCAGTGGTAGGGTTAATACTGGGACGTGTAAAAGTGCTTTTGAATTATTATTATTTTTTATTTTTTGGGGTTATTTGGTCTAAGTAACGATTAATATTGAAATGGGTAGGTACATCATGTTGCGTATTGTTAAGGCGATTAGTGTCCTCAATCCGCGCTAAATGGGCATTTTGTAAAGCCTACTCCTCTTTTACTGCTGGACAGAAATAGTTGAANTGCCCGTGTATTTTTAATCAGTGTCAAATCGGAGTTTTTGGTGCGGGGTGCGCGGGTGTTGCTCGCGGCGTGAAGGTCAAACGCCCAAGGTCATTGAGGACTCTAATCGCCTTAAACATTGTGGTCCAACATGTGTAGAGTAACACACTGACATCCCAAAAAATATTTTGATCCACTTTTATTGAAGTTGGACAACATGAATCCCGTTTGAAAATTATTTTAAAATAAATAAATTGAGTTACTATTATGATTGTTATTTCTGAGTACCTAAATTTAATTTAAATTTAATTTGTGTAAAAGCGCTTTTTAAAAACCTATTTGCAAAAATAAATGAATTTTATTTTATGAATTTTTATTTTTATTTTAAAGTCCATATTAATATTAAATAAGAGCTATTAAAAAGCATTATTTTAAAATTTCTACTAACTGTCCACAAAGACTTGAAGCTTCTGGTGCCAATGGTGCAATAACACGTACTATACATTGTTTCAGTGCCAATTATTTAAAAACCCTCTTATCTCTTATCGTCAATACTTCTGTTTGAATACCAAACGAATAAATATTTTACAGTAGTTATTCGTATACATAACTTTTTTGTGCGATAGTCATATACTTTGCCTTGACATTCCATTACATAATGTAAATAATGTTACCAGTTACACGAGCCTTGATAATGAAAGCTATGTTGATATGGTTTTACTGACAATGACCTTGTTATTTTGGCAAACTCTGGAGGTTCTTTGCGATGTGTTATGTAGCATCAATTCCAGATCTCATAATAATTATTAAGTTCATTAATACTTAAGTCGAAAATGAGCACACTCCAACTAAAAATCTCAATTCAAAAACCGGGAGAAGAACAAACCTAATGTATCTTTGATTCTTCAATTTTAAGGAAAATCTGCATGCATTGTGGTATACCATGATTTTTATTATATTCGTATGTCGTAGGTATACCACACTTAAGTAAATAGCAAATGATTAAAAAGCGAGTTAAGTGACAGCTACTGTAAATTATTGCATTGTTATCAGTGCGTGTGGCGAAGAAATTTGAAAAAATATTACACTTTAAATGCGTAAAGTCTGCGCATTTTTTATAAAAAATGTCGTAGCTGACAATTTTTCGCATCCTCGATTCAGTATAAAGACGGCGCGCAACGCACTATTCGATACAGACAGAAAAATGATTTCTCCAGCAGTTGTTCTTTTCACTCTAGGAGTTTTGGTCTCCTCGACACTTGCAAAAGAATTCTACGTCAAAGAATACTATGCTATTGAAAATGCCGAGACCTACTTTGAAGACTTCATTAGAACACACAATAAAATGTACAAAAGCGATGAAGAGAAGCAAGCCCGATTCGAAGTATTCAAGACTAATTTGGAAAAAGTTAATGACATGAACAAAAAGGAAAATCTTACTGTTTTTGGTAAGCTCTACTATTGTTTTTTTCTATATTATGCTTGTTCTTGAAAACAATCTCACCTGTGGGATGCGATTTGGGGAACCTTCTACGAGCAAGGAACATATCAGAGAATTAAATCCTGACTGAACCTCCGATCGAGAGGATATCACGGAGGTGTCACCTAACACGAGAATCGTAAAAAGCCACTTTATTCACATGCATACAGGAACTACTATATAGAATTCTTACTAATTTTTCTTTATAATTCTTCGAACGTTATGTTTCAGGCATTAACCAGTTCAGCGATCTGTCCATAGAAGAGTTTCTCGAAAGGTACGGCACATACAGACTCAGCAGTTCCGAAATGCAATGTCAGATGCACGTGGTGAAAAGCAATGGATCTAGAGTGGCAGCGCCGGATTCCTTCGACTGGCGACTCTATAACAAAGTCGGTCGTGTCAAGGAACAGAGCAGTTGTGGATCTTGCTGGGCCTTCAGTCTTGCTGGTAAGTAATATAGTATTCTGTACTCTTTACCGCTTATTTTAAACTTACATCTTTCCCCATAAATCACTCTTAACTATTGATGAAAACTGCATGAAAAACTGTTCTGTAAATTGTTGAGTTTGTCGCAGACATAGACAAACGTGGTGGTAACAAGACTTTGTCTTATTCTTTATTATATTTTTGCTAACACTGATAATATTATATCCAGCTAACATAGAAGGACAGTACGCAATAAAGCACAACCAGCTGATGGAATTCTCTGAGCAGCAATTGCTGGACTGCACCGGAGGCAGCTGCAGTTGCACTTCAGGATTCACAACCACCGCTGCTCTGTAAGATGGTTTATTTACAACAAGCTTTTAAAGGTTTTAATGCAAAAGTAGCCCAACTAATTAATAACTTAAATGCTATTGTGGATCACAAAATTTTAACAAAGTATAACTAGTTAAAAGTTTAAAAGTTTCTGCTTTTAAAATGTTCGTATACATTTTCCTATTCAAGGTCCGTAATCTTGAGTTTATGTTTGTTTATAAACGTTGTCTGGTATCCACGATAACTTCAAAAAGTTTGGGATTGGGTTGCAGCGTGAAAATATAAAAAGTTTATTGTTTCACTTACAGTACTTTAGCGCAATATTATGGTGGCATCATGATGGAACAGCTATATCCCTATGAAAATGTACAGAGGCAGTGCCGGTTTGATCCCAGCAAGGTAATAGCTAAAGTCACAGGCTGCCGTCAGTTCATATTCTCGTCAGAAGAAGAAATAAAGGAGACATTGGTGAATGTTGGACCGCTTTCTATTGGTAAGAAAACAATTTCTTTTAAACCGAAAGTTGCAGTTTATTTAGCAGGCTGTTGGGGACAAGTCCTAAATGAATAAAGCACTATCCCTAACGAACAAAAGATTTCCCTGAAATGATTTCACATTGAAATGGTGGTACTTCTGTGATGTTATTACAAGTTTTAACTTTTATTTTAATACGAGTACATGGAAAGACGTAGACTGACATATTTACAGATATATGAATTTTATAAGTTTTACTATATGTGCATAATTCTATTGGACACAAATGTTGGTAAGCATCAATCAATATACCTATTACTTCTGCTTTCAGGCGTCGCTATGGATGAAAACTTTAAAGATTATCACGGTGGAATATTGCGATACTGTGGATATCAAATTAACCACGCTGTGCTTCTCGTCGGATACGGCTCAGGTATTGTTACCGATCATACCTAAGCTTTAAATGATATAAATAAAGAACTCAATATTTAATAATTTGAAAAAATCAAATTTCGTATAAGGAATCGAATCACTTCCTGGGCGACTGCTCTCACTATCTGAGCTACTTAGATATTGGGTGATTCCGTCAAAATTAAACGCTTAAAATTCTCCATAATACATATAATAGTGTCTTAATAATTAATCTAGTATTACAATGATGGAGCAATGTACCCATACCATTGTGAAATACTGGTAACGTAGGGTTGATGATTATCTACTGCTATAATGATGCAATAAATTCTTATTCGGACCAGATCGAAATTTTTCAATTAGGTGTGAAGATTTTGGTTATTACACATACAATTCTGGATGTTTCAGAGAACGGCGAACCGTACTGGCTTATCAAAAACTCCCATGGCACAACATTTGGTGACAATGGTTATATCAAGATCAGAAGGGGCATCAACTTGTGCAACATCATGGGCAGCGAGATCATCACTACAGTGGTGCAGTAACACCGCAGTACGCACCAATCTTCTTCCATACCGACATTTTGGCTTTTGATCATGGTTCCTTGATGTGGTGGTGGGATATGTTTTTTAACAGAAATAAATATTTTTTATTGCATTACACTTGTATTTTTATTTGTTTTGTGTTCAACTCCGTTTCCTGAACTCTATATAAGTTAATTATGAGGTGAATGACTTAACTTAGTAACATAACAGCTATCACCAATATTCAAAATTACACATGTAATCAAATATATTTGAAGTATTTCCACTGTTAAGTGAAATATGTGTACAGATAAACATTTATAATACATTTTATTGCAAAAAATTCTGTGCATGAAATGGTTCCAGTATATAAACGGGTACAAATCTTTCCAACAACATAGTTGGTTGGTGAACAGTTGAAAATGTTCCCTTTGGTAGTTCTCCTGTGTTGCCTGGGGGCTTTGGTCTCCTCGGCTCCTCAAAAAGTGTTTTATTCTGTTAACGAGGCCCCGAGCTACTTCGAGGATTTCATGCAGACGTACAATAAGGTTTACAGCAGCGAAGCAGAGAAGCAAACCAGATTCGAAATATTCAAGAAAAACTTGGAAATGATCAACGAACAGAATCAGATTGATGATGCAGTTTTTGGTAAGAACATCCACAATACCTATAGCATTAGTGTAAAAAATCATTTCTTGTTTGTCTGGACCCATTATTTGGATGGCCGTTCTCAGAACTTCTCTGATCAGCAGAGCTGACAGAGCAGCGGTACGGAGCAGACCGTAATCCGCTACTGCGGGTTGGAGTTCCTGTTTTACCAGGGCTATGAGGAGAAAACTTCTATAAAAACAACTGAAGGAGGGGATTGGGGGTCCCCTCGAAGCCAGAGAGGTTCACTCATGAACGAGCCTCTATCCTGAGGCGAAGCTGCGGACGAATTTTCTAAATGAGACAATAACTCGCGGCTCTGTTTCTCTGGGCTCCGGTGAACACCGTCGAGTTTAGTGGGTAGGCCCTGCCTTTAGTGAGCAGGCGGGGAGAGTCCCACTAACCCATTAACCGTCCCCATCGATAGTAGTCTGTTACTTAGATTGTGAAGATAATTTGACATTATGTTGGATCTTCTGGTGATCCCGCTCTATCCATAATGAAATAGTAAAGTGCAATAATTTATTAGTACAAATACAGCAGTTTCTATGAAATCCCCCACTTTTCAGGCATCAACGAATTTACGGACTTGACCACAGAGGAGTTTATTTCACACTACACCGGCTACGGTAATGTCGGTGAAGAGATTAGATGCCAGTTAGTTAACAACGCGAGCCGCGTGTCTGCGCCTGAGTCGCACGACTGGCGCGCGCTGAACAAGGTCACTCCGTCTAAACCACAGAGTTCTTGCGGCTCCTGCTGGGCTTTCAGTGCTGTTGGTAAGTACTTATATGTGGTCATTGGCTCATTATTATTATACTATAATTACTATTTTTGTGAGTGTACCTACGAGATTGTCATGAAGATGAAAGATACTGTGAAGTGTATTATTACGGTGTTTTAAGACCTTTTTTATGTAGAGTAGGTTAGTTGTTACTTTTCCTTTATTCGCATTTATAATATTAGTTGGAAGTGGGATTACAGTTATTTCCAATTTTGCTATTAATATTTTTTTTGTATCTCAGGTGCCGTCGAAAGTCAGTACGCGATGGTCCACAGCCAACTGGTCGATTTATCTGAGCAACAAGTGTTAGATTGCTAGAGGTGGGCGCCGATATAAAATTGGCCGGCGGCGGCGCGCCGACTTTTTGACCTCGGCGGCGGCGGCGTCGGCGGCGTGACCTTGTTTGACCTTTGTTCATTAGGTATTTTTTTTAAATCTGCTTTTTTAGTATCTATCGTCAAGACTAATCAGGTGATTTGCAGTTGGTTGGGGTTTGAGCCACTAAAGCAGTGGTTTACCCTAGTAAATTAGCTCTTTTGATCATAGATACTTTGATACTTGGATAGCGGGTTTGGCTGAGATTAGGTTCTCGTGTATTTCCTAAAGGCGAGCGTACCAATGTGCCGATAAAAGTACCCTTAACATGTATTTTTGAGCTCTTTGGAGGCACATAGTTAATGTTGGATTAGCTGACTGTCGGTGGAATATTATATTCAGTTCTGTTTTATTTATATTTATGGTCTTTCCATGTCATCCTACGGTCCAGGATTTTAATGCAGGTTGATTGCAGCAATGTGTCGAGGTCTAGATTGGCCGGAGGATAAGTTTCACGTCGTAAATCATAATATGGTGAGACATCGGGGCATAATTACATNAGATTGTACCCAAAGGAGCAATGGATGCGATGGGGGATGGATTTCAAATGCAATTCAGTAAGATTCCCTATATTCCATGTTTATATTCCTTTACATAAAGAACTCGCTAACCGAAAGTTTGGCCCAGTTTCCACCAAGGTGGAGCGGGGCGGAGATGAGAGGAGATATGTGTTGGAACTGGCCGGCTATTTCCATCAAAGCGGAGCGGAGACCAGAGGAGATGTGTGAGCTGTGCGTAGCTGTCAGCTGTCAGTCTATTGCTGTCTATGAAAGAAAAACACACTCCGCATAGCTCCGCTCCGCACAGCTCCGCTAAGCGCTGCACCGCCGCCGCTGTCAAATTCTATAAAAATATGAGTCTGCGCTAAACTTCTCTCTTCTCATTTCCACCGAAGCGGAGCGGAAAGATATGTAAAAATAATGAAATCTGAGCGGTTATTCAAAACACTTCTCTGCTCCGCTCCGCTTCGCCTTGGTCGATCTATCTATTCCTGTGGTGTTTTAGAAATAACCCTGTTAGTAAATACCTAACTATCGACATTTCCCAGCGACTTAGCAAATACCGGCGGCATCATGGGAGAACAGGACTACAGCTACCAGAATGCGCAGGGCCCCTGCAGGTACGACGCCAGCAGGGCCGTAGTCAAGGTCACCGGCTGCCGCCAGTTTCGCCTGCAGTCGGAGGAGGAACTCAAGGAAATCCTCGCGAGTGTTGGACCTATCTCTATTGGTACATAAATGTTTATTTTGTGTTAACTTTATGCTGCCCACACATCAAACCCGCCGAAGATTCTAATGAAATAAAGCGATGACGTGTTCTCCTAAAGTTTCTTGTTGGAAAAAAATAGTTCGATCTATTTAATTTTCTAACTAAATAGAGCACATGCTGGTGGTAGTTCAAAGTAAAATACAAATAACTCCCTCCCTCTTACTGAAATTAATTATTTGATTATTGAAATGAAAATAACTTATTAATACTTTAATGCAAATAATTTGTTGTCCAGTTTCATGCGAAGACGTTTTGAATACTTGACAAAATAGTTATTTACACCGCACTAAAGCCGGTTTTCCACCGCGAGCGGAGTGACCCTTAATGATTCCGTTTAAGTCGCAATCCAGAAATGCATACAACTATTTCCACCAACAAAGAGTCGAGCGAAAATGACAAAGAGGGCAAAAAGAGTACAAATGAGCGTGCTCATCAAATCAATACTCCCGAACTCTTTCTCAGTGGAGAAGCAATCCCATTTTATGTGCAAGAAGACCGTTCCGCTGGACATCCCTCAGTCCTCTTTGGCGGTGGAAAACGGGCTGTATGGTTCGATGTATGTCAAGAGAGAAATATGTATGTTACTAATTAATCTATATTGTTTCTAGCGGTCTCAATTGACGGCACCTGGCAGAAATACCGAGGAGGGATAAAGAAAGTGTGCCCTCAAGGCCCACTCAACCATGCTGTGCTTCTAGTTGGTTATGGCTCAGGTATATTTATCATTGTTTTTTATAGTCTCTACAAGCTTTTTCAAGCGTAGATATTCATAGCAAGAGCATTGAGGTAAGACAACACCTGTATGACAATTGGATATAAACGCATACATCATCACATCATTTCACAATATTCAATCAAACTTCAAGCACAGCTTCAGAGTAGAAGTATTTACCATGAGTATAACATTTAAACCTAGGCTCAGAACACCAATTTTTCGTCGGCTGATAGTTTAGTCGGGCAGTTAATCAGTGTGCCTACCATGAGTTTACGTTAGGTGAGCTCGCTAGCGAATACGTCAAAAAATTATATGAAGATTTTATTTCTTGAAAGTAGCCGCTAGGGGCGCTGCACAATATGTCATACATTTAAATGTCATTTTTTTACGCAGTCGTTAGCGAGCACACCTAACGTAAACTCATGGTAGGCACACAGTACGGACATGTATGGAAGTGCACACGTTACACCGATTTTATTGATTCTTCATAGAAATTAAAATCGGCCGACTAAAAATCGGTGGTCTACGCCTAGGTTAACTCACCGCTAGTGAGTGCGTCAAAAAATCTATAAAGATTTTAGTTCTTAAAAGTAACCGCTTTCATATACAGGGTGGCCAAAACAGTGAGGTCTAAAAGAAAAATTTAGATTCCTTACATCAAGGTGTATCTAAATCACCCCCATATTGTGTATAATACGATTTTGCTTAGTTTAGGAGATAGAGTTAATTTTGTGATATTTTAAAATTCTATGACTTAGTAGGCTTTTAATTTTTTTATCTTTTTTTGGGTTGACTTTTCTCAGATTTCTTTTTTTTGACACATTTGTTATTAATTGCAGATATTTGAAAAAAATAATCACCTTCCTATCTTTGATGCAAGATACAAAAGTTTTGCTAGAAACATTAAAATTATGCTTTTAGCAGAACACTATCAAATTTTCAACTTAAAAAAAGAATTTCCATAGGTCCAAAACCATTTTAAAAACTGCGCCGTTTCCTGAACATTCATAATAATACAAAAAAAACATGTAGGTACTTAATGGGCCACTATTTCCTGATCGGTCCACTAAAGTGGTAAGTCGGAAATTCCGTTAGATGTTTTTAACTTTCTTAGAGTGAATTAATATTAGAATAGAATAGAAATATAATAGAATAGAAAAGGTTTATTGACACAGTAAAAAAAGACACAAAACAAAAAAAAAACAACAAAAACACATAATATGTAGGCTATTAAAACAAGTGGTGAGAAAAAACTGTGCCAATAGGCACCCGCTCAGCATTTATCGTGACATGCTCAAAAGGGCAAGTCACGAAGCTGGTCTTCCGCGGACGCCCTTGCTTATTGCGCAACCCTTGGAGAAGACACCGTCTAAAAATAATGTAACCGTAAATTATAATTTAGTGAAAGTTCGATGTCTCTCCAAGGGGCACGCAATATTGGGAATCCTCTAAGTTTACATTACGTAGAACAGATTTAGAGCAGTAACTGGACAGAACATGTTTTTATTCTCAACGAGGAAGCTCTTGCCCTTCATCACACCTGGTGGAAACTGATGATTAGGCTGAAGGTGGAAGGGTACTTCAACTACAAAGGAACTGTGGCTTCCTACCTCCAAATGCCGGAATACAGTAATGCTATTAACGAGTTACTCACCTGGTGTCCGTTTGGTTGCGCAAAGCTGTATACATTTTGTTGGTAGCGGCGACTGGTTGCGCCGCCATGGTGTCCCGGTGAAATATAGCCCTAAGTTTACATCAGGCATGGCAGGCATGGTAAGCACATAGAAAATGGGCTACCTACTGTATTTAATTCATGTTTACCTCCTCAGTACCTAATCAATGTGTTTTTTTTTTATTTTCAGAGGGAGGCCAGCCGTTCTGGATCATCAAGAACTCAATGGGCCCTGGATGGGGAGAATCCGGCTTCATCAGGATCAAGAGAAACGAGAATGCCTGTAACTTGATGAGTCCCTATGGTTCATACGTTACAGCAACAGTGCAGTAGGACATTGCATCAGCTTACCTTCTCACACTTCTTTAGGAAAGTAGCTTGGAACTAATTTTTGACTCAAAATTCTTGGGAAATATTTTTTTGGTGGCGGGTTTTTTTGGTTTTCGAAAATAAATATTTGATTTCCTGTATCTTTTATTTTTATTGCATTTTCATAGTTTTAGAAGTGAAAAATGCACTGGTGGTTATTTATAAACAAAATATGTTAGGATTGCATAAGTTACAAACTTTGTCCTATGTAATTAGGTAAAGTAATATTATACTACAGGTATTTTATTTGATATCCTCATTTATATGTATAAGTATATACATTTCATTTCTAAATAAATGATTAACATATACCATAAATGTGACTTGAAAATAGACCTCACTTTGGGCTCACCTCTGGGATCAATTAGACCAATTTTTATGGTTATAAAACCAAATAAAGATCTCACGTGTCCTCTTTAACAGATGGATAGCGATTAATCCCAACTTAACAGTTTTATAGTAATAAAAAATGGTTATAGCGTAACTACCTATTTTTTTGAAGAAGTGACTCTGGATCCTTGTAAAGACATATTTTTGGGGTAAAAACCTTTCCTTTAATGAAATGAAGTTTAGAACTACGCTTTCAAATGGTACCAATGTTGGTGGGAAGTGGGGATGCATACGTTTGATAAGTGCTTGTCGCGGGAGGTGCGATTTATTTGATGCCGAGTGTAGTTTAAAAGTATGAAAAAGAAAAGTTTCAGAAAAGAAGGAAATAATTCATTGTCTTGCCCTTTTGCTCAGCCATCGTGTAAAAAAAATGTAGGAAGCCCATCGTGTCCATTACCTTAAAAACATCCTTGGTAAATTGAAATTCTAAAAAGGTATCAAAAGCCTATGTATTCAGTATTATTTTATTCTCATGGCTACTTGAATAGCAACGAAGTAGTATGAAAACTGCAAAAATGAGTTTTTCTCGTAATAGTTACACTGGAACTGCATGAGTGGCATTAAATAGAATTAATGGATAATTTTTAACGTCATTTCAGCCATAGACGTCCACTGCTGAAACATAGGCCTACCCCAATGATTTTCATAATGACCGGTTGGTAGCGGCCTGCATTCAGCACCTTCCTGCTTACCTTTATGAGGTCCTTACTTATAGAGTGTAGACTAAGTAAAAAGCAATGTAATAATACCGTTTAAGGAACACTGGCCTAACATCAAGACATCTTAGAGTTGGTGACAACAGAAAGCAATAATTATAGAAGTTAAGTTCCCCTAAAACCTGAATAAACCACAAAAACTACAAAGGTACTTTTGTGATCGCTCAAACCAACATACATAGTATGCATTCTGAAGGAGCATGAATGTTTAATTATTAATATTTAATCAACAGCTTAAAGAATAAGTTTCAAGCTTTTATCTTTAACCCTTAAATTGGCACTTATTGAACCCTTGCTTCAAAAATGGTCAAATTTGGGATTTAGGTATTGTTTTGATAGATTAAGAAAAAAATATTTACTTTTTGAAAAAAATTCAATTAGTATAGAAGTTATGACATGTCACTCAAAACGGACATTGCCAATTATTTAGCATTACAACCATGTCACTTAGGGCGGACATTGCCAGTTTAGAAAAACAAACGTAAAACAACTTTTCTTAATAACAATACAGGAATCCCTGATAATCATCCTCTGGCTAATCCAGCGCCTTTTGCAATCCATCTGGACTATTTACTGTTGATTTTACATAAATTTATCAAAAAATACCCTGACATATAAAAACAGAAAGTGACTGCCTGATTTATCAACATAAATCCCAAACCGGTGGGTATAAAGACACAAAGTTTGGCATGTAGGTTACTTATTAGGGTCTAGGGGTGTTATCAGAAAGGATTTTTCCAAAATTACCCCCTAAGGGGGTGAAATGGGGGCCCAAAGTTTGTAGGGCGAAACAAAATTAGTTACACTATTTAATTCGAAACTTTACAGGATACATTCCTATCGATAAATGAATAAACACGTGTTTCAGGTTATTTCAGAATTCAACCCCTAAAAGGGGGAAATTGGGTAAAAATGTCTAAAAATCAACATGAGTATTTATTACTGATACATGGCATTGTCCGTTTTAAGTGACATAACATTTGTAACCTTGAAATGAATGGAAAAAAATCGATATTTTTTTACAGTTTTGGCAATAACCGTCAGTTTTATTCGTTAATATTCTAAAATCAATCAATAAAGCACAAGAACAAGTGTAATACCTACAGTATTGCCACATTTATCCAGAGTGAAAACTTGACATTGCTATTGCATTTATTCAACTCTCTTTATTTTTAAAATTCGCGGCTTTTTATTGAACTACAGCCCCGTGTTTCACATAAAATATCATGCTTTTTATAAAATATCCCTTGAAAGTCGATAAATTGCTTTAATTTAGATTCTGTAAGCAATTATTTGACATGTCCTTTAAAACGGACAAAAACAATTTAAGGGTTAAAATGACAATACTTTCAGACAAACTTTCATACCCCTTTTTTTGTCGCGGAGGAAATACTTTGCGCACCGTCACTACTGCCGGGGGACAGGGTGGTGAGTTGGACTCCCGGCGCCCTAAAATGGGCGTTACTCCGTCCTGAAAATGACAAGGTATACCTACTAAAACCTCCGCGGCGTTCCGTCTTGCGCATCTGCATGGTGTCGCGACTCGCGAGTATGTGGCCGTAGCCTTAGACTTCCACGACACCACCGGCAACACACCCCCTCGTGGGGGGCCGACGGGAATTGCCCGAAACGCCAAGCCGTTCCCGTCAGACGGAGGTGGCAAGGGTGCCCCCGCACCCCCGGTCTGCTGGCCGCCACCTGGGGGAAGAGAAGAACGGTCGTACAACCGCCTTCTCCACCCCCTTCTCCGCCTGCGGAGCGATGGGGCGAGATGATCGTTCACCCGCTCACGCTCCGCTGCCTCCTTCTGAAGGATGACCTCCTCGCAGAAGGAGGCGCCCGCCTTTACAACTCTTGTTTCGTATTGAAAAGTAGCCTATTGACATCTGAGGCTCTAGCTAGACTATCTGACGATCCTATTCAATACAATCTTACTAAAAAAAGATACAACAAATCTTTCCTCTTTATAATGACTATACATCTGCGGGCTATGTCGGTCACTTTGGTCCTCCTGCGGATTTCCTCATTTCTGACTCGATCACGCAGGGAAACTCCGAGCATAGCACGCTCCATCGCCCCTTGGACCAGTCGTTGTGTTAATCTTTGGAGGAGGCCTTTGTCAAGCAGTGGACGTCATTTGGCTGAAACGACGATTAATAATTTATTAAATACTAGCTTTTGACAGCGGCTTCGTTCACGTCGTTTCGTTCTACTCACTACTACTACTCACAGAAAGTTAAAGCCTATGTCACTCAAGAATAATGTAGCTTCAGTAGGTGAATTTTCAAAATCGAGTTACTTACTTCCTACGATCGATTATGCGATTTTGGTTTTTGATCATGGTTTCTTGATGTGGTGATGGTGAACTCCATTTCCTGAACTCTATCTCAGTAACATTTAATTATGAGGTGAATAACTTATTTAGTAACATAACAGCTATCACCAAGACCAAAAATTACACGTGTAATCAAATGAATTTTAACTATTTCCACTGTTAAGTCAAATATGTGTACAGATAAACATTTTTTAATAAATTTTATTGCTAAAAATTCTGCGCATGAAGTGGTTCAAGTATATAAACGGGTACAAATTTTTTCAACGGCATAGTTGAACAATTAAAAATGTTCCCTTTGGTAGTTCTCCTGTGTTGCCTGGGGGCTTTGGTCTCCTCGGCTCCTCAAAAAGTGTTTTATTCTGTTAACGAAGCCCCGAGCTACTTCGAAGATTTCATGCAAATGTACAATAAGGTTTATAGCAGCGAAGCAGAGAAGCTAGCCAGATTCGAAATATTCAAGAAAAACTTGGAAAAGCTCAACGAACAGAATCAGATGGACGATGCAGTTTTTGGTAAGAACATTTATATTAGCATTCCAATTGGACTTCTGGTTACTATAAATTGACATCCTATTCTTGTGATTAATTTCGCTGCAGGTTCCAAGACGGTGAGCTACGACTATTGAACCTTCAATGGTTAGATTTCATTGTAGACCGAACTGTAGATCCTAGCTTTAAGAATAGCAGTAGTGGAAAAGAGATCATCATTTCAGCCATAGGACGTCCACTGCTGAACATAGGCCTCCCCCAATGCTTTCCATGTTGATCGATTGGTAGCGGCCTGCGTCCAGCGCTTCCCTGCTACCTTTACGATGTCGTCGGTCCACCTTGTAGGTGGACGTCCTACGCTGCGTTTTCCGGTACGCGGCCTCCATTCCAGAACCTTTCTGCCCCATCGGTGCAGAAAGGAAAAGAGATGGTGGGAGAGTAGATATTGAGCAGATGATTTAACATTGCATAATAATATGTTGGGTCGCCTAGTGTTCCCGCTCTATCCATGCATATTACAAATACAGTATTAGGTACGGTTTTTTGAAAATGTTTGCTCTTTTTTAATTTTGGGAACATTCTCTTTTTAGGCATCAACGAGTTCACGGATTTGACCCCAGAGGAGTTTCTTACATACTACACTGGATACGTCAACGTGGGTGCAGAGTATGCATGCAGGCTTGAAAGGTTTGGCAACGCGAGCCGCGTGTCTGCGCCTGAGTCGCACGACTGGCGCGCGCTGAACAAGGTCACTCCAGTCAAGAACCAGATGACTTGCGGCTCCTGCTGGGCTTTCAGTGCTGTTGGTAAGTCCAATTACTTTTAAATACGTGTAGTTTTGCCTACACTCTTATCCAGAAGATACCATTATGTAAGTTTTTTTGACTTTATTTCAATAAATTAAAAATAGATAAATGTACATACCTAAAAGAACACTTCTTTATTTTAACTAAGGGTAAGGGCTAAGGGCTCCTTGCCACGGAGACTTCCTGTTTTTTGTAGGCACTGTTTTAGTTAGATCTATATTAAGGCTGAGTTGCACCAACTAACTTTAACTGTAACGATAACCGGAGTTTTTTGTGTGGAGTTTGACAGATTTTTGATGTTTGTTATAGGTGAAACTTAGCATAACCTTCATATGAAAGTGTCCCGCAAAAACGATTCTTTCGAATTTGCAATTCAACTCATCCTTGTGTGTTCACACGACAAAAAGAAAGAATAAATAATCACAAAGAAAAAACGTATTTTAGGGATTTCTGTGGTTACCTTTTAATCATCATATTTTTAAATAATAATAATGTTGTTTCTAATTTTTTGTTTATTTTTTGTATCTCAGGTGCCGTCGAAAGTCAGCACGCAATTGTCCACAACCAACTGTTAGATTTATCTGAACAACAAATATTGGATTGTACCAAAAAGAGCTTGGGGTGCCAAGGGGGATGGATATCAAATGCTCTTTAGTAAGATTCCCTTTCTTAAATTCATTTACATTTTATAACTCACTAACAGAGAGTTTAACTAAAATTGAACTCAAACTCGTTTTTTTAAATAACTAAAAACAAATTTTATCGTGAATTTGTGTCATTTGTAAGTCTATGTCTCATTAATAAAAAAAAATAACAATGTGACGCTCTAATTTCGGAAAATTAAATAAATATTTAGTTTAGTATAATAAAAACAGCTAATTTAAAAACCGTAGAACAATGTTGTTGCTTTGATGTCAACTATCTATCCTGCGAGGTTACCGGTGTTTTACAAATAACCGTATATAGTAAAATATTTTTTTTTGCGGAGGAAATGCTTTGCGCATCGTTATCACTGCCAGGGGACAGGGTGGGACTCCCGGCTCCCTGAAAAGGACGCTGCTCTGTCTTGAAAAGGACGGGGTATACCCACTAAGAAACGGCGTTCCATCATCTCCCGAGTGGGGGTGTCGCGAGTATCCGGCCGTAGCCTCAGACCTTCGCGATAGTATAGTAAATACCTATGAATATTTCACAGTGAATTAGCGAATACCGGCGGCATCATGCGAGAACAGGACTACAGCTACCAGAATGCGCAGGGCTTCTGCAAGTACGACGCCAGCAGGGCCGTAACCAGGGTCACCACTTGCCGCCAGTTCCACTTCATGTCGGAGGAGGAACTCAAGGAGACACTCGCGAGTGTTGGACCTATCTCTATTGGTACATTAAAGATTTTGTGCAAACTTTATGTTAACTAACACTAAAGTTTCGACTAGATCGGTTCGGTGATCAGTAAAAATCACTAGTATCGCCATCGCCATCACCATTAGGTACGCACGCGGGCTGCACGCTTTAGTTTAGTCGAACCTTAACAAAGAGTTGAGCGAAAATGACAAAGAGGGCAAAAATAATAAAAAGGAGCTCGCTTATCTAATCAATACTTCCGAACTCTTTCTCGATGGAAAAGCTTATTTTATGAACAGGGATGTCTAGTGGAGCGGTGTTCGCTCCATACCTCATTCTTCTGTGGTGGTGGAAAACGGGTTTTATAGCTGAATGTATGTAATGAGACAAAGATGTATATTACTAATTAATCAATATTGTTTCTAGCGGTCGCAGCTGACAACAACTGGCAGAACTACCGCGGGGGAATATTAGAAATGTGCTCCCAATCAGTCAACCATGCTGTGCTTCTAGTCGGTTATGGCTCAGGTATACAATTCCATAGTAATTTTTATTTATACAGATTTAGGTATAAATAGTAAGAAGAAGGAAATAAAGAAACATGCATTACAATAGACATCACACAAAGACAGACAGGTAAATTAAACATAGCAGTGGCAAAATCCAGGTTGAACTGAGCAGTGCCACCTTCTCGCCATAACGATGTCCACGCAACGGGACCTCAGTCTAAATACAACCCAATCTTTTCACAATTTTCAATTAAACTTCTAGTACAGCTTGGCTACTAATACGAGACTCGCGCGTACGATTCATCATCATCGTCAACATTTCAGCCATAGGACGTCCACTGCTGTACATAGGCCTCCCCCAATGATTTCCATGTTGATCAATTGGTAGCGGCCTGCGTCCAGCGCCTTCCGTCTCATGTCGTCGGTCCACCTTGTGGGTGGAAGTTCCACGCTGCGTTTTTCGGTACGCGGCCTCCACTCCAGAACCTTGCTGCCCCATCGGCCAATAACAGAATATAGGTTTCTATAATTATTGAGGTACCTCAAAAGAACCAATTTTATTGCTTACGGTGTTTTTTGATTTTAGAGGGAGGCAGACCGTTCTGGATCATCAAAAACTCATGGGGCACTGGATGGGGAGAATCAGGCTTCATCAGGATTAAGAGGAACGTGAATGCCTGTAACTTGATGGGTGGTCAATTCGTTACAGCAACAGTGCAGTAGGACATTGGACTTCTCAGACTTCTTTATAAACGAAACTTGGATATAACCTATACCAATTTTTGATTCAAAATTCTTGGGTAATTTTTTTTTGGTGGCGGGTTTTTTTTGGTTTTCGAAAATAAACATTTTATTTCCTGTGGGCTAATTCAAATGCATTTGTCGAGAGTAGAAATCGTCTGTCAAATAATTTTCTAGTAATCAATTTTGAACTGATTGTCAAGGTAATACTGTTGAAAATTGAATAACAANTTAGGGATGTTCCGATACCACCTAAGTATCGATACCTACTCATTTCGATAATACTCAAATCTTTTTCCGATACTACTTAAATAAGTACTCTTAAAGTATCGATAGTTACTGATATCGATACTTTTTGGAACTTTTATTTTGTTTTATTATTTTGAGGGTGCTATCAATGAACGTTGAAGGACAATAATTTAAACAAAATTGAGAAGAAAACAACTATTTATTTATTATAAATTTTTATTAGGCTTATTATTAATTTAAACAAAAAACTCTTCAGCCTTAAGATTGCCCAAAAACAGTAACTGTTCAAGGTATTTTGAAGACAATCTATTCCTTGTTTGTGTCATTGTTGCACCGGCTTTGGAAAAAAGGCACTCGCTAGGAACTGATGTTGTAACAACAATTAAATATTGCTGGGCATACTTGTAAAGACAAGGAAACACCAACTTCATGTCATCCCATTCTGCAAATGGGTTGCTTTTAAGAGAAACTACTGGATTTGATAAATAAAGAGAAACTTCATCTCGTTTTCGGTTGTTTTGCTGATTCGATTCGATACCAAGTATTTTTGTTTCGATACCGATTATGTATCGCAAAATTGATTCGATATAATAAATACTTGGTATCGAATCAAAAGTATCGAGTACCTACTCGTATTTATTAGTATCGGAATATCCCTAGAATAGATTGAAATGACAGATTGCACTTGAATTACCCTACTGTATTTTTTATTTTTATTGCATTCCCTTAGCGAAAAATGCATTGGTGGTAATTGTAAACAAACATATTTATAACTGCTTTAATGTTTATTAAATTATGGATGCAGTTAGGGTTGGATAAATTTCAAACTGTTTGTCCTAATATAATATAATAAAGTAATTATATAAGTATTAAGTACATATATTAAATGCATGCGGCCATGAGTACCGCCACAAAACTAAAAATGTAGACCATTTCTGTCATAACGCATCTACTGATTAATCACGAAATCACAAATTTGGCAGGTACCTAGGTTCCTTGTAGGGTGTAGACATCCGCTAAGAAGGAATCAGTTTTCCGGATTTTACGAAACTCCACCCCTAAGGGGGTAAAACGGAGGTTGCAAATTTCCACGCGTACGAAATCGCGGGCGGCCGCTAGTTAATGATGTGTATAATTTCTAATAGTAGTGGCCTCTCAATATAGGCCTTAAATAAGCTTAAATTTGCACAGCGTGCTATCAGAGTAAATACAATTTGTATTTACTCTGGTGCTATGAAGAGGGCTATACTCGTACTTGGCGTTTCTTTACGAGATCGAATCAGAAATGAGGAGATCCGCAAAAGAACTAAAGTCGCTGACATAGCCCGATGGATTAGAATATTTTAGGTACGTATGGACCAACCAACAGTTGTATTGTTTTAGGTTATTTAAGATGAGCTGATGATTAACATGAAAAAGCATGAAATAAATTAATTTTAACAAAACAATTAAAACCGACTCCAAAAAAAAAGATGAACTAAAAAGAGCTGGTGACAACAGAAAGCAATTGTAACTAGTAGTCAAGTTCCCCTAAGGGCCTTCGCCCACGGCGACTTTTTGACTTAACAGAAGAAATAGCTTTAAAATGACAATACTTTCATACAAACTTTCATCCCCCCTTTTAACCCATTACAACCCTTATTTCGCATTGAAAAGTAGCCTATAATGACTAAGGGCACATAGCTCGTAGAGACGATGGCCGTTGGGGCAGAAAAGTTTTCGAGTGGCGACCAGGGCTGGAAGACGTAGCGTGGGCAAACCTCCTACAAGGTGGACCGACGATCTGGTAAAGGTCGCGGGAAGAACCTGGATGCGGGCAGCGCAGGACCGTTCATTATGGAAAGCCTTGGGGGATGCTTTTGTCTAGCAGTGGACGTCATTTGGCTGAAACGAACGAACAAACGAATGACTTCTGAGGCTTTAAAGTCTAGACTATCTGTGTATCAAACATTGAAATCGGTCCAGTGGTTTCGGATCCTATTCAATACAAACTTACAAAAAAAAATCTTTCCTCTTTATAATATTAAATGTATAGATCTGCGGGCTATACGCACAGCGTTGAATAGAGCTCTGTGATTGGTTCGTGTGTCACCCTGTGCGTCCACGCGCACTGTGAGACCTCATAGTAATGTTTGTGAATGCGGGCGTATGTCTCTCAAGAATAATGTAGCTTTAGTAGGTGAATTTTCAAAATCGTGTTACTTACTTCGCGCGTACGATCGATTATACGATTTTGGCTTTTGATCATGATGGTTCCTTGATGTGGTGGTGGGATAATATGTTTTTTAACAGAAATATTTTTTTTTATTGCCTTACACTTGTATTTTTCTTTGTTTTGTGTTCAACTCCATTTAATTTCCTGAACTCTAAGTACACTTAATTATGAGGTGAATGACATAACTTAGTAAATTGCACTCCTTTGATGTAGATCAGACGTCCACTGCTGGACAAAGACCTCCCCCAAGGATTTCCATAAAGACCGGTCCTGCGCTCGCATCCAAGCACCTCCCGCGAACGTCACCAGATCGTCGGTCCACCTAGTGAGAGGCCTGCCCACGCTACGTCTTCCGGCTCGTGGTCGCCACTCAAGAAATTTCCTGCCCCAGCGGCCATCAGCTCTACGAGCTATGTGCCCCGCCCACTGCCACTTGATTTTGCGATTCTGCGGGCTGCCAGTCACTTTGGTTCTCCTACGGATCTCCTCATTTCTGATTCGATCACGCAGGAAAACTCCGAGCATAGCACGCTTTATCGCCCTTTGGCCTTGTGCCTTCTCATAAGAAGGCACAAGGCCCATAGTAAGCGACCACGTCTCAGATGCGTATACCATCACTGGCAACACACACTGGTCAGAGACTTTTGTCTTGAGACACTGCGGTATTTCGGACGTGAGAATATCGCGAAGCTTCCCGAACGCTGCCCAGCCGATTTGGATTCGACGATTGACCTCTTTCTTGAAGTAGGACCTACCTAACTGGACTGTGTGTCCCAGGTATACATAATTGTCAACAACTTCAGAGTGTAACTAGTGTCTCCAACCTTCAGAGGAGTGGGTACAATACGGGAATTTGACATAATTTTTGTTTTGTCCATGTTCATTTTAAGACCCACTTATTGAGAGGATCTACTGAGGCCATCGAGCATCGTGCTTAGATCCTCCACGGTCTCAGCCATGACTACGATATCATCCGTATAATTACACGTGTAATCAAATATATTTTAAGTATTTCCACTGTTAAGTCAAAATATGTGTAGTGTACTGATAAACATTTAATAATAAATTTTATTGCTAAAAATTCTGCGCATAAAGTGGTTCCAGTATATAAACGGGTACAAATCTTTCCAACAACATAGTTGGTCGGTGAACAGTTAAAATGTTCCCTTTGGTAGTTCTATTGTGTTGCCTGGGGGCTTTGGTCTCCTCGGCTCCTCAAAAAGTGTTTTATTCTGTTAACGAGGCCCCGAGCTACTTCGAAGATTTCATGCAGACGTACAATAAGGTTTACAGCAGCGAAGCAGAGAAGCAAGCCAGATTCGAAATATTCAAGAAAAACTTGGAAAAGCTCAACGAACAGAATCAGGTGGATGATGCAGTTTTTGGTAAGAACATCCACAATATTAAAATTAGTGTAAACATTCCTATTTTTTGTTTGCCCGGGTCGGTTCTTTGGATGGCCATTCTCAGAACTTCTCTGATCAGCAGAGCTGACAGAGCAGCAGCACGGAGCAGACCGTAACCCGCTACGATCCGATCCCATTCTATACATAATGAAATAGTGAATTGCAATAATTTATTAGTAGAAATACAGCAGTCTCTATGAAATCCCCCACTTTTCAGGCATCAACGAATTCACGGACTTGACCCCAGAGGAGTTTATTTCACGCTACACTGGCTACGGTAACGTCGGTGCAGAGGTTAGATGCCAGTATTGGAGGTCTAACAACGCGAGCCGCGTGGCTGCGCCTGAGTCGCACGACTGGCGCGCGCTGAACAAGGTCACTCCAGTCAAAAGCCAGATGACTTGCGGCTCCTGCTGGGCTTTCAGTGCTGTTGGTAAGTATAGGTGGTCATTAGGTCATTGTTACTTTAAAACTACTTTTTATGTAAGTGTTTCTACGACTTTCTCATGAAGATGAAAGATGTATTAGTACGGTGTTTTAAGACCTTTTTATGTAGAGTAGGTTAGTCGTTAGTTTTCACATTAGTTGGAACTTGGGATTACAGTTATTTCCAATTTTGCTATTAATATTTTTTTGTCTCTCAGGTGCCGTCGAAAGTCAGTACGCGATTGTCCACAACCAACTGTTAGATTTATCTGAACAACAAGTGGTGGATTGTACCCAAAGCACCTTCGGTTGCCAAGGGGGATGGATGTCAAATGCTCTTGAGTAAGATTGGCAATATATTTCTTTACATAAATAACTCGCTATCCGAGAGTTTGGCCCGGTGTCCAGCAAGGCGGAGCGGGGCGGAGACGTGAGGAGATGTGCGTTGGAATTGGCAGACTATTTCCACCAAAGCGAAGCGGAGAAGAGCGGAGACGAGAGGAGATGTGTGAGCTGTGCGTCAGCTGGCAGTCTATTGCTATCTATGAAAGAAAAACACACTCCGCACAGCGTCGCTTTGCTCCGCTCCAAACAGCTCCGCGCCGCCGCCCCTGTCAAATTCTATAGAAAAATGAGTCCGCGCTACACTTCTCTCTTCTACGCGCGATCCATTTCTACCGAAGCGGAGTGGAGATGCAGAAATAAAGAAATCTGATTAGTTATTCAAATTACTTCTCTGCTCTGCTCGCCTTGGTGCATACAGGGCCTAACTATGAACATTTCACAGTGAATTAGCGAATACCGGCGGCATCATGGGAGAACAGGACTACAGCTACCAGAATTCGCAGGGCTACTGCAAGTACGACGCCAGCAGGGCCGTAGTCAGGGTCACCTCCTGCCGCCAGTTCGACTTCCGATCGGAGGAGGAACTCAAGGAGACCCTCGCGAGTGTTGGACCTCTCTCCATTGGTACATTAAAGAAGTTTATTTTGTGTAAAGTTTATGCAGTCTACACATCAAACCCGATGTAATTCTAATGAAATAAATCCGCCGGGATCTTACGATTTTTTGAATGACGTGTTCTCCTAAAGTTTCTTATTGGAAAAAATAGTTTGATCTATTTAATTTTCTAACTAAAGTATGACCAACCACATCAGGGTGGACCGGTCTTTGTGGAAAACCTTGGGGGAGGCCTTTGTCCAGCAGCGGACGTCTTTCGGCTGAAACGAACGAAAGTTATTAATTAATAGATATTGTTTCTAGCGGTCGCAGTTGACAGCTGGCAGAACTACCACGGGGGATTATTGGAAATGTGCCCCCAATCCCAAGTCAACCATGCTGTGCTTCTAGTCGGTTATGGTTCAGGTATACAATTATGTTTATAATTTATTATCGCTTATTACACACTTACATCATAAAGGTAGCAGGAAGGCGCTGGACGCAGGCCGCTACCAACCGGGCAACATGGAAAGCTTTGGTGAGGTCTATGTTCAGCAGTGGACGCCCTTTGGCTGAGATGATGATCGCTTATTATCCTCTCTACAAGCTTTTGCAACATAGATATTCGCAATAGTATCGAGGTCATTTTACAATATTCAATTAAACTTCAACGACAATACGAGTATAACAGTAACTTTACCACGAGTACCTATAGTTAATACCTTTGTTGTGCGGAGTGCGTCAAAAATCTATAAATTTTTTAGTTCTTGAAAGCTTTCATATACAGGGTGACTGGAACTGAACCCGCCATAGCTAATACGCGTATAGAGGAGGTCATTTGCTGATTATTGAACCTTACTTTCAATGACTAAAGTTTTATAGTTTAGGAGATATGTCAATTTTTATACTTTTTTCAGATTTTTCCGAAATTTGACCTAAAAACTGCTTAATTTTTTTTTCTCGCATGATTTTAGCCGATTTTTTAATTAGATACTAATATCGAATATGTCTTTATTCAAATAAAATAAATTTCTGATCCAGGTAATGGTTGAATAACTAGTTACAAGCTGTCAAAGTCTAACACAAGTACAAACCACGATAAAAAGTTCTACTTCGATTTCGATTGAAACAAAAATTAATGGTGATAATAAATTGCCAATAATCTTAAAAATATCTCTAGCTTCTCTTCTTTCCAATGATGTATCACATGTTGTATTTAGATATTGAAATTTGTCAAAAATTCAAAGTTTATGGACGAAAATGGAGAAATAATACAAAAATTATTGAATACAAAGTTTATTTTGATTTTTTTAAAGTCTTTTCTTCATAATGTGATTATTATTTTTAAATTATTTTTTCAAAAAACACTCAAAAATAGTTATGAAAAGGAGTATAGCAGGAAATATGAGATTTTGAAGAAACTTTGTATGGATAATTTTCGTATTATTACTCCATTTTCTTCCATAAACTTTGAATTTTTAATAAATTTCAATATCTAATTACTACGTGTGATATATCATTGGAAAGAAGAGAAGGTAGAGATATTTTTAAGATTATTGGCAATCCATTATCACCATTAGTTTTATTTTAAATCGAATTCGAACTTGAATTTTTTATCGTGGTTTGTACTTTTGTTGAACTTTGGCGGCTCGTAACTAGTTATTGAATCATTATCTAAATCTGAAAGTTATTTTATTTGACTAAAGGTTTATTAGATATTAGTATCTAATTAAAAAATCGGCTAAAATCATGCGAGAAAAAAAATTGAAGCAGTTTTTAGGTCAAATTTCGAAAAAATCTGAAAAAAGTATAAAAATTTACATATTACAAACTATAAAACTTTAGTCATATAAAGTAAGGTTCAATAATTAGCAAATGACCTCCTCTATACGCGTATTAGCTATGGCGGGTTCAGTTCCAGTCACCCTGTATTTTTTCACGCGACTGCGAGAACACCTAGTATAAACTTATGGTAAGCACACAGAATATTTGCTACTGTATTTTATGTTTACCTCTTCAATGTTATTGCTAAAGGTGTTTATTGATTTTCAGAGGGAGGCAGGCCATACTGGATTATCAAGAACTCATGGGGTCTTGGATGGGGAGAATCAGGGTACATCAGGATCAAGAGGAATGTGAATGCCTGTAACCTGATGGGTGGTCAATTCGTTACTGCAACAGTGCAGTAGGACATTACAGCTTATTTTCTCATAATTTTTGATTCAAAATTTTCGGGTAATATTTTTTTTTGGTGGCGGGTTATTTTTTGGCTCGAAATGTAAAATAAACTTAATTATTGCAAAAATGATATTTTTATTGCATTCTCATAGTTTTCTAAGCGACAAAGGCATTGGTGGTTAACTGCTTCAGCGTTTGTACAGTCGCGGAATGAAAAGGTTCGTCACCTTAGTGTCGGTTTTCGCTTGCACTAGGTACTGTAAGAGTCAAACCTGCCAACATAACAGTGCAAGAAACAGTGCTGCTAACATTTAAATAAATATGACGTTTGCTAACGAATAAGGTTTTGCTTGTTTATTTTTCTATCCCATCAGTGCAATGCAATGATGACATTGACCAATTGACAATAGTTTTTTTTTATTTAATAGAAATAATAATGGCAGGTTGAACCAACAAGAAGGTTTTAGTTTATCAATCATAATAATCTTCTTGACAAGATAAATCGTCAAAAAACTTTGACATCAACATCTGAATAATTTTGAACTTTACTGACGAACAGTTAAAGATTATTTTCTCTAACTCAAGATTATTCTGTAACATAGTTTCAAAAGGTAATATGTGCTCGCGATTCGTTGAAGGAATCAATTTGAAAACTGACGAACCTTTTCATTCCGTGACTGTACAATCAGGGATGCAGTTAGGTTTAGATAAGTTTCAAACTGTGTTGGTCTTAATATAGAGTTTATTATGGTAATAAATATGTATACCTTATCTACCTAAGTATCTTTACATTTTTTATTACGCGACCAGCTCTTAAATTATTGTATAATGACACACACAGTCATTTTATTTATTCTTGTTTTGTAATAACACCGTTTAATGAACACTGGCCCAACATCAAGACATCTTAGAGCTGGTGACAACAGAAAGCAATTGTAGAGAGTCAAGTTCCCCTAAAACCTGAATGAACCACAAAAACTACAAAAGTACTTTTGTGACCGCTCAAACGAATACTATGCATTCTGAACGAGCATGAATGAGCCGAATCCACAGCCATTAATAACTAGCCAAATATGGCCGGCCAGACTCGCTGGAACCGACGATTCATCCATAACAAACGATCCAAAAAAATGCACCATTATTTATCTATCCCGACTTGTCGTGTGTTCGGCACGATATTAAAATACAAACGCGTACAATGACACTTAATTGTTGAAAGACGAAAAAAGGTATAAGGAAATTTATATCCACCGCCCCCGAGCCACACAATGCGGAGAAAAAAATCGATGTAATGCAACAATGACGCATTCCCAGAAGCAACCAGGATCCCGAATAAGCTAGCGTGAAATTCGCGGCTTTCACCGACCTAATTCTCATTAAAGACACAGAAGTAGCTGGCAGCCACTGACGCCATTGTCAAACAGCCCTTTGTTGCTCAAGATGAGTTTAGAAATTGAAATTTAATGGAAATATCAAATGAAACTCACACAAGAGAACTCTTGGACGATGCTCCGATAATAGCAATTGTGACTTGAGACGGAATGAGTCGTTTTATAATCATTGATGCTCGCATCATGATGTTAAATTAAACTTTGTGAAGGCATAATGTAGAGTGTCATTCCCGACGGCTGTAATTGTGCGTCTAAGATTCAATAGATTGTTATTAAACATGAAGGAACGCGTCTAAAGATAACTCGCGAGCAGGCTATGGGAAAATACTGTTATTACGTTTGTGTATTTGAATACAAATTGTATTATGTAATTTAGATTTTCGAAAGTTATTTAAAATTTTCCGTGTCGGTGCATTATCCATTACGACTTTAAAGCAAACGGACCATGTAAAGCGGCATAATGATATCCCCGTGAGATACTCCTATGTATTCAAAATAAAGTATGATAAGATCATCAACATAGGCGATTTAATAATGACATCCAGTTGCCATCCTTTAAACGATAACGATCTAGAGAGGATAAACTTTGGGTTTGGCCTCAAAACTGTTTCCGTTTATGAATGAGCATACAAATGGCCGCACAATGCGGGGATTACACGAGTAAAGATTTGCTTAAGGACTGGTCAAACTTGAATGAAAATAATGGCGGCGAAGAAGAAGGCGATTTCTGGAAGAAACAAACTAATACTCCTGTTGTAAATATTTGTGAATGAACATAAAACGACGGTAGAGATGATTCTACATACAGCTTCATTCAATAAACAAGGCCTATTTGTAAAGGAAGTGCAGTAGAAAACCGAATAAAAGAGACAAGATATCTGAAAAGATGCAGCAAGGAAAGCAAATACTAAATCGGTTTTGAGTTTGTCTATATAAAAGCTAACATACAGATGTTGTCCGTTCACAGGTAAAAAGCGACCCCAGTTATTTATTGTATCAGAAAAAAGGGATAATTAATAATAATAAAAATCAACGGTCCACGTTGGTCAGTCCCGTAACTCCTTCAAAGGAACGAAACAATAGTTATGGGGTAATCTATCGTATTTATCACTGTCCAGTCACCCCCTTCTTTAAGGCGACAGACCGTGACGGATCCTAAGCAAACGGCTTGCGGCTAGGATCAGGAAACAAGTTTCAATTATCCTAAAATGCATCGTTGCATCTCTTTTCTACATACGACATGTGACAGAGAGGGAAGGGATCGAGCGGTCTAAGAAGGAACAGGTTTCTAACAAGACACGTAGGTGCTTATTGTATTTTTAGTGGGCAATTGTTGGAGCCCTGTGGAAGAACCAGAATGACGGCTTTCGAACGGACTGTGAGGAAGAATAGTTCAATGGTAACCTTGACGTTTATCCTTATAATAAGATTCATTATTTGTGAATGTAAACAACAGTGATGAATCTGTTTTGTTAGTAGTAAGTTTTGATTCAGACGTTCTATTGTCAATTCATCGGTCAAATTATATCAAAATGTACTCCGTTAAGCTAATTGGAAACGTTGTCTTTTAAATGACAAAAAATACCTTCCATAAAACGTATAAGCAACAAACTCAAAACTTTATAACAGTATACAATGTAGGTCATTCACCAAAGCCCGTATTCACTCGCAAAAATGACCTCTCATCCTTTTCAACTCCTTTACAACATCATTTGAAGGCACTAACTGGACACCAAAGTTGCTCACACACCGTAAAATGCTGTCAAGTGCTCTCCAGGCCACAGAGGGTCTGTTCCAAAATGCTCCATGATTTAGCTTACCCGGATCAAAGGCAGTTTGTATGGCCCACTTGCCGTTTAGCTTTGACTCCACTATTCAATGGGCCTTATTGACGTTTGAAGCGATGTGAGCCTCGTTTATTAAGGATTTTGGTAATTTTGAATTGGAACTTCATATGGGATTAATCGTGTTTGTATTTGGAGTAATTGACTGGTTTGATGGCGAGTGTTTAAGCTTGGAAATACTTGATGAATAATAATCAGCTTGTTCACTTTCAGATGTCTTAGTTCTAGGGCAGTTAATAAAAAAAGGAGTCGAGGAAATGGGTCAATTTTAAAAATGCTGTTTTACTGTTCAAAATAAAGAGTTGATAATAGCAGGCATTTTTATAATTCCAATCTTGGTGCATTATCTGTCGATACAAAAAAGGTACACGATTATATCTCTCTAATGCTCGTCCCGAAACAGATGCTTCTGATGTTCTGATAAACCAGTATTGATATATCGCTCCATCAATTCCATGAGTAATTAAAAACATATTCTTCTACAGCATACTCAAAATACCATCGTTGGTGCCTTTCTGTCTGCGTTGCCAGACACCATGGCACCTACCTGGCTCGCTATCCCTCTTCCCTCCCGCTCACACCCACGCTGGGTACGAATAAAAGAAAGGGACAACAACAGCAATCTTTGAATGGAACAGTGAAAAAATATGGCGCGCGCATAAGGTTGTTTGTTCTAGCCGCCCGCGCTGACCCACGTCATTATGGAGTGTTATAGTCGATGAGGGTTATATTTTTAATGTTTTTTCTTCTTTTCAATGTGTGAGGAATGATATTTCTTGAATATATTGAGTATTAAACCAGCGCAGTATATGCTGGGTTCTCAGATCTGTCAAGGTGGAATTTCGTGGCAGACTGAGTGTCTCCAGTAGGGATCAGTGATGTTACAATGGAATATAAAGTGAATTTTAAACTTTTATTTCAGTTCAGATTATTTACGGCCTTACGTTGATGAAAATATTTGCTTTCTTTTTGAACTCATTACCATGTCCTCCTCTGAAGAGAAGATGGAGAAGGTTTATTAAAAAGCGCTCTTAAAAAATCGTCTACTAAAAGTATACCAGAAAGATTTGTCTTGAAACTTTAATCCTTCACTGTTGCTATAAAAATCATGTAGCAGATGAGTTTAGGTTAGGTTAGGTTAGGTTAGTAGTAATTCTTATTTATGGTAAAGATGTATTCGTCAATCTCGTTTCAAGTAAAGAAATGTACTGTTTTTCCTCCTTTACCCGTTAAAAGCTATCTTTTTCATAAGTGCCAAAATAATGGTCAAAATATTTTTGATCGATTTTAATTACCGTAATTATTAACTTAGTTGCTGCTGCTCTGTCTCAAACTTTTCCGTGTACTACGCCCACACCAGCGCCCGCGCATCGCAAAGTGATCAGACCCGTTTTTATTAAGGGTTTTATTAATGCACAGCGTCAGAGGCATTTTTATTTCCCCGCGGCTCCCGACGTGGGAAAGGAGCGCGGTGACTTAACAATTTTTGTATTGTGCTCCCCATTATACATATGGTCAGGATTTTATTTATCTCCGTTTGAATTTGGTCACTTGAGGATAAAAAGTTTGGAATCTAAAGTGGTAGGTGTGATTCACCCTGTATGTTTGAAGGAAATTTATTAAGCATCTACAGCTTTCATTCATTTCTGTCCCATCATAAAAAAGTTTCTGTACGAGATGGAGATGGGAAATAGTTAATTGGCAATTTAAGGGGGGCCCATTACACATTTCATAAAATGAGTTAGTTAGCCAAAATCTTGCTTTAAAGTAACATTA